CTCGGTAAACGCCCAGCATTTGTCTTGGGCGGTCCGACTCGCTTTCCTACAGGAGTCCCCAAACTCGTCCAGTTTGCTGTAAACGGCAGGCACGCGTCCCTCTCGACTGAAAGGCGTCCCCTGTGTGGCCGGGTCACGCCCCGATCCAGGCTCCCGTCAGGGGCCCTCGGCCAGCCTGTTCCCTTGTCCGAGCTATTGTGGACGGTGCTGAAATACGCATTGTAGAGCAGATTAGTTTTTGTTTTTGTTTTTTTTTAACTGATTTCACCTTCTTTGGATAGATGCCCAAGAGAGAGGTTGCTGGGTACCACAGTACTTCCACTGATAAGGTAGGTCCAGGTTTTAAGATGATAAATCCAGATAACCGCCCATAATGGCGGTACCAGTTTATACCCCAGCGGCGGGGCCTCAAGGCTCCTTCCTGGCATCCAGTCAGGCTTGTTGCTGCAGCCCTTTTGATACGTGATGTCCTCATGGTGTGAAGATAGCTCACTGCGGTTTTAACCTGCACCTGCATCTCTCACTAGGTGTGATGATGAAAAATTTCCCCTGTATCTATTGACTTTCTGGATATATTCTCTTTGGTGAATTTTCTGTTCATCTCTGTTGCCCATTTATTAATTTGGTTGTTTTCCTGTTGTTGAATTTATAAGCCTTGCAGTCATGTAATGTGCAAATATTTTCTCCCCTTCAGTAGGATGCTTTTAAGTCTGTATCTTCTTTCACTGTTTTTAAGGTAATTCCAACTGTTTGTTTTTATTTTCCTTGCTGTTAGTATTGAGTTTTCAAAAACATCTTTGTCATCAGATGTCACCGATATTTTCTTCTGTATAGTTATTTATGACAGGTCTTCATCTAGATCTTTAATCCAATTTTATCTTTAATAAACTTGGAGTTTATTTTTGTGCATGGCATTAAGAGAGGAATCCAAATTCATTCTCTTACGCTTTCAGTTTTCCCACCACCATTTAATACACTCTCCTTTAACCACTGAAGGGTTGTACCTATCTTACCATAAACTAAGTATCGATACGTATGTGCATTTATTTCAGGACTTCTCTGTTCCAATGATCCATGTGTCTGTTGTTGTGCCAATACTATATTGTGTGTAGTCCTGTTGCTTCAGAGCATAAAGCCAAGCAATGTGATGCCTGTTTGTTTCTCTCAAAAAATATCTTTAAATAGGCTCAAGCTGAGTCAAGGATGCTGAGTTCAGGCACTAAGTCAGCTAATTAAGTTGCTGCTCAACCTCAAATAAATCCATTTTTCTCTCTGAACTTACCCGTTTCATCATGTGTGATTGATTGCCAACACTGATTTTTTAACTTCACCTTTTAAAATAGCTGGGTAGTATCTAACACTGATTTTTAAGTGATTTGCAGAAAGGAAAGACATTTGGGACCTATTACTTCCTACTTCAGCCACTTAGCAACCGACCTGCCACTTTCTCATAAGCAAAACATGGATAAGATGCGTTTCTGAAATACTGAGAACGTGTTTATTTCTGCCTCCCTTTTAAAGGCTGATTTTGCCAGGTGTAGAATTTTAGGGTGGTGGGGACTTTACTTCAACACTAAGTATTTCTTCTGCTCTCACCTGATAGCTAAGAACCTACAGTTCTTTATTTCTCTATAGGTAAGTTGTGTGGTTTTTTTTTTTCCTGGCCTCTTCTAAGTTTCTCTTTGATTTTGCTTTTTATGGTTTCAGTAAGATATACCTGGGTAGAATTATTCCCCTTCCCTCATATTCATCTTGCTTAGTATTTTGAGCTTCCTAGATCTGTGGCTTGGTAACTGTCATTAATTTTGGAAAGTCGTTGCCATTATCTTCAAATATTTCTTGAGTCTTTTTCACTCTTTAGGATTCTAATTACAAACGTTTCATCTTTTGATAACATTCACGTTTCCCCATAATTCCATTTTCTATCCTGCTTTTATTTCTTCCTTTGCATTTCAGTAGGAAGTTCCTATTAACCCATCTTCAAGAGCATTTTCTTGTCTCAGCTGAATCTGGTCTTCTGCGGAGCTGTCAGAAGCTTGGGCTTTATTGCATTTCCTTTGCTAGTGTTATTTCTAGCATTTCCTTTTGCGTAGGCCAGAATGGCCTTTACGTGGTATCAATATGTGAAGAAATTCATTTCTTCAAAGTGAGCTAGAGTAGGATCCTTGTGCACTTTTTACATACCCAAAGATGATTTTTTTTTCCCTTTAAGTTGGATAGGTGAGGAAACACTACCTAACTTAGGAGGTGATGGTATGAACTGTTGAATCTCTCTTAGGGGTTAGTTTGGAAGGAGCCAAAACTTAAAAAAGCGTTAACTCTTGACTTGGTTTCGATTCTGCGTTTAGTTGAGCGCAGACAGGCGTGGCGTCTGCCGCAGCATTATCCTGACAGCCCGGAGAGAAAGCGAAGTCCCTGGCAAAGGGCTGGTTAAGCCAGCACTGCCAGTCTGGCCTCCCCACCTGCTGCTCATCTCCTCCTGGGCCTGCCCTAAATGAGCTACCAGCAGGCTTCCTTGCCTCTGGCTTCCTTTGGAGGGGGGAGGGGGCAGCGTTGGGGCAAAAGGCCAGAGCTCCTGGTGGGGTTGACCCCGGGAAGGCGGAAGGGTGGACAGATGGCAGCCATGGTCATTGAGACTAGCGCAGGGAGCAGTATTCCTGTCACAGCCCTGTCTCCCGTGCGTTTCACCAAGAGCTGCAGGCTGTCAGCGTCAACCAGGAGGCTCTGGTGCCCACGGCCAATGCCACAGAGTTCTGTTCAAATTCTAGCAACTCTTCTTCCAGACAGGCAGTGGAAGAATAAAGGAAGAACTCACAGTAGTTTATCAAATACTACAGGGAATAGGAAACTTTTCTATTTCTCTGTTTCTCGTAGCCATGTGACCTAGGAAGATTTCAGTCAGTAAATACCTGAAAATGGTTAAGGAGGAAGATGAAGAGAACAATGATAGACGTGATCATGAAGCAGAATCCGAAGGCAAAACAGATGTGCTTTTAAAATGAGGGAAGCACATTTTGACTTTACTTGTCTCCTCTCAGAGACTTCTGCATCCTCCCCTGCGGGCTAGGGAGCCTCCCAGGACCTCTTCCACGGGCCTCTCTACAGCTGGAGGCTGTGGAGCGAAGCTAGTTCATCTTTTTGACAGAGTTTAAAGACGCTCTAAATATCAGTTGTGTACGTTCCTATGTGTACATTTTGGAATTTTTGTAAACAAAGGTCAAGTTTTAGCTAAATATGGAGTTTACTGGTAGCATGTTACATTTGAACTTTTGTAGATTAAGAAAATTTGTTTTGACTATTTGTCTAAACTCCATGTTTTAATTCTAAGTTTTCCTTTTCTATTAGTTTTTACATCCTTTCATAGTAAAATGACTTGTGGAACTAGTCTTGAAACACTATTTTTCTAATACCTTATTACTTGAGACTTGTAAAATTTTAAAATAAGCACTTCTAACACTTTCATTCCCAGAGAAAAATTCCAGGCCAAATTAATAGATAAGAAATTTTTTCTTCTTTAAAACATTTGACCGTTCCTTTTTGCACATCCATAGGGATTTTACTGTCACCAAGAAGCATTGTAAGTCCTTAATTTTTTTTATGGGGTAAAACTTTAGGCTCTTTTCACTCTTTTAAAGAAACAGGATTTGCATCCAATAAATCATCCCTCGGTGTCCAGCCTCATATGAGTTCCGCACCCCCGGCCCCCATTTCCGCCGAGCTGTATCCCTTTCCCTCTTCCCGGTAACTTCTGATGTTCTCTACCCCTCGAGTTTTCTAAGTTTAGTTTAGAATAAGGTACTTTCAATAAAAAAAGGGGACGTTATCTGGCGATTCTCTGTAATACCACGCACGCACACATGCGCACAGGCACACACTCCCAACCACTAATCTGTAATTTTATTTTTTTTTAAAAAGGTTCCAATACAGGCCACAAGTAGTGCATGCAAATCAATGACCCGCACACTGTCACCCATGCCCGCACGACCAGCTCCTCGCTCTGAGTTGTCACCTAATCACACCATGTCCGAGCAGCATGTGGCCAGCTGGTGTGGCACATTCTAGTGTATCTACACAGCAACAACACGAAGTGTCCTTAGTGTGTCAGAGAGGGAAAGATACAAACGAGGCAGCAAAGGAAAACTCGGCCTTCATGTGATGCCCAAACCCACTCTCGGCGGTTGGCCACGTCGAGGGGATTGGCCGGCGCCACCACGCACGCATGTTCCCTGCCGGGGTGGCGCAGTGGCGGAAGAGAGTGCTGTCCGTGAGGTTAGAAACTGAAGTGCTGCAATCCATTAGGCTCCTCTTCCGTGACGTCAACCCGTCACTGTAAATCCACCTCAGTGCCTATGTGAAATCTGGGAAATGCACGTAAGGGGTAGAGACTCCGACACCGGCCAGAGCTGTGGTTACAGGAGACTCCTGCCCTGGAAGGACTCAATGGAAGAACCACCTCAGAACGTTTTAGTTTGATTTAGTATATTCAGTGATTTTATAACTGTTAAAAAGCATCTCTTACGTGTGTGGTCCTTGATGCGCTTGACCACTTCACCACTTACACGTTGCCACCTGGGGCTGATTGAAGGAGAGGGCACATTTGTTCACGACTCTTAATTGAAGCCACCAGCTCATTAAGATGGCTGCTCCCGTAAGAGAAGTGATTATGGTGGGAGGCAGCCTTTACCTGCAGGAACTGCCCACCTTTCTGTGCAAAGAGTGCCCTCGTCTTCAGTTGGAGAAAAGGCAGGAAGGACTGAGCGGACAGCCGTGGAACCCTCCAGAATTAAGCATCAAGGACATGGGCCTCAGGGAGGAAAGGCAGCCTATACTAGTAGCTAGCTCCCCTGACCCCTCACGACAGAAACCTGGATGACCCACTCACAGTCCTTTGAGCAGAACCCAGTGCAAAGAGCCTGTCAATGCCCCACACAGGGCTTTTCCATTCTGCCAAAGGACCCACACGTGCTAAAGAAACGTGAATAGCGTCACCACAAATACCATTATTTTTACACCAGGACATTTTAGACAGTCCCCAGATCAACAGGTGTCTTCCCAGAATGTAACAAGACACGTGTCAGCTCTCACACCGGGGAGTGTGACTTAGTGAAGGGACCGGTGACCAGTTATTGTTCACTAACCACCAAACGCAACTGCAGTGACTCGCCCCAGGGCTGAGCGCAGTGAAGATCATCACGTCAGACTTCACTTCGGGGCAAGGGTTCTACTCCTTAAACCAAGCAGCAGAGCTAAACAAACAATTTCCCTTTGCCCTCAACTGGTTAAAAGTTCAAGTACTATGGTGCTACCAGAATAATCCTGCATTGACCCCTTCAGACGTCTGTTCCTTAATACTGTGAAGAAAAAATCTCACTGGTGTCCCAGGACAGGACAGGTTGCACCAAGAAAGCAAGAAAGCTAATCAACTACCCCTGGAGGTCAGTTTATCTTCTGACTCAGGGAAGGTTGTACTCTCCTGACAAAGTTCCAGAGAGGCTTCCCGATCACTAATCCCTAAATTATAAACTGGCCCCTTTGAAAAAGCCCAGGAAAGAGTAATTTTGCCAAAGTTCTGGTGGGAAGTTTCTTGATGGAAGGCCTGTTCCATCAGTCATTCAGTTCCAACAAAGCAACGCTAGGGTTGGGACCCCCCTCGCAAATAACCCTACCTCTGTCAAATTACAATCATCCATTCCTGTTTGCTAAAAAGTGCGTCATCAGGATCTCTGCGATGTCCCTGCACTGAGAGATCAATTCCTTGAGAGAGACAAAGATTCCAAACTAAGAAGGAAATCTTTAAAGAAAAAAAAGGGGGAACAGACCTTGGTAAAGCACCGCCCCCATCACCAGCTCTTAAAAGAAGCTCTAAGCGCTCCTCTATCACCGCCCCAGCAAAGAGCCACCCCACCGACTGCCAGAGGAAGCCCAGGGCGAAGGCCCCAGCCTCGCGGCTCTGCCAGAGCAAAGGAAGGCGTAAAGGGGCCCACTTGTCCGTGGGGGCTGAAGAGAGGGCCCTACGCCAGGCGGCCCTGGAATGCCACACAGTGGCCCAAGGCCAGACAAATGGGCCCTTCAGGAGCACAACCCCCATTTCTACTTGGGCCCAACGGAACTATATGTAGTTACACCTCAGCAGTTAAAGTTTAACCCCCTTCTAAAGGAAAAACCCAACTTAAAAAAAAAAAACAGGAAAAACAGCAAGTGACCGCTGATTCTCCTGTTCTAGTTCCCATTTTGTTTTCAGCTGTAGTGAAAATACCTTCACGGCGCGATGAGAAGCAGCAGAGTCTCGCTCAACCTGCAGGCATCTTAGTTCTTGCCCTTCCGCCTCCGTCAAGCCAACTAGCCCTGTCCCCGGCTCCGCTGGGTGCTGCCCACCCACTGGTCAGTCGGTGCCGCCTTGCTGTCTGGCCAAGGTGCGCTTCAGCTCCCTCAGATTCTCTGTCAGCACGTCTACTTCATCCAGGCGGCCACACTGCTTGGCGTCGAAGATGTACGCCTTGATGTTATCGATCTGCTGCAGGAGCAGCTCCTCCTCGATCGGCGCCTCGCCCTCCGGCCCGCTGTCACTGTCCAGCTCGAACGGGTTGGTGCAGGCGGCTTCCTCAAAGGGGTTGCCAGGAGCAGGCGGGCTCGCGGGCCTCTGCTGGGGACGCTCTTCTTCCTCGTCGAAGGGGTTGGGCGCTGGGCTGTCTGGGCTGACGAAGGGATTCCCCGCCGCTGCCTCCTCCTCCTCCTCCTCCTCAAAGGGGTTGTACTCTTTCAGAACGTGGGCTGAAGGGCGGGAGGACAGGTCTGCAGCAGGGGGGCTGCTCGTGCCCTCTGCTGTGGGGCTGGACAGGTCTTCCTCCTCAAAGGGGTTCAGGGAGGACACCTCATTCTGATGGGACATGGCGTCCTGGGGGAGCAATTCCCGGCCCAGGGCTGGCGGCCCAGACCATACTCTGACGGTCTCTTGAGATAAGCTGGGGGAAGGGGTTTTGGAGGCCGCAATGCTCTGAACTGGGCAAGAGTCTAGATCCAGAGCATAAGCAAGGGCGCGAGGCTCCCTCCCAGGCTCCAGCTGAAACGGCCTGACTTCTCGGAAGTCCAGGGACCGAGTCCGGGTGTGCACAGCAGCCGTCTGCAGCTGCTCCCGCTCGCGCTCGCGCTCCTGCAGCATCTGCAGCTGCTCCCGCTGCAGGTCCTCCGCCTCCGCCTGCCTCCGGGACAGCTCGATGGCCTTCTCTGTCTGCTGCTGGTCATACTCGTCCTGCAGCTGCCGCAGGTTGTCCTGCAGCGTGCGCACTTCGTCGGCCCTGCCCGCGGCCTTGGCCTGACTGATGAATGAGGTGATGTTGTGGATCTGCTGGAGGAGGGGGTCCGAGTCTTCACTCTGCCCCTGACCGCCTGACAGGGGGAGCCAGCCCTCAGCCTTTCTCAGGGGGGCCCGGCCTCCATGAAGGGATGACACCTCCCCATTGGCTGCACGAGATGCCAAGTCACCCCGCCTTTCCTCGAGTCTTCGCTGGGATTCCAAGGCAGCCTGAGGAAATGCCAAATCAAGGAGAAAAAATGTGGTCACCGTGTCACCAGCAGATGTGCCATCAGCCAGCCTCCACAGCTCTGCTAGCACTGAGCAGGTGGATTCCAAACACCCCAGGGCCTCAGGCACCCAGCTGCTAAAAGCAAGTCACGCTTTTTATCTGAGGTACAAGAGTTAAGGGATAAGGTTTTCTCAACCTTAGATTCACAGGCCACCCACTTGCCTCAAACCTCTCAGGTCTAGCACCACACATGAGTGTCTGCGCACTGCGTCAAACACGCGTGTTCACTTTTTGCTTAACAGCGCACTTCCCAAAGAGTTCTATGAAAACTCCCGGTGTCTGGGCTGCCTGCAACCTCTATCAGAGGGAAACCAGCCAGTCTCTGGTATTCTGGGTAGGAGAAGATCTGCAGAACTGCTGGGGAAAAACAATAATTCTGATGTCTAAGGAGGAGGGCAGGCCCAGCAGAAGAAAATGTAAACTTGAGTGAGGCAGAAGTTCTGAGCCACTGAAACCTCAAGGAACTTCTGGGGAGCCCACGAGGCCTCCGTGCTGAGAGCTGTGGGGGAGGCGGACCCCAGCAGCCTGCCTCCACTCACCTGCCTCTCCAGGATCCTCTTCTGCTCCATTTCCTGCTGTCTTTTCTTTTTCAGTTCCTCAAACTGTTCTTTGGTTGGTAGTGACATCAAACCAAGCAACTTTTCCTGTGGGGAATCACAATTTTACACTTAAACTCTGGTGGAGGTTCATTTCACCTAGAAGAGTTTAGGTCAGATCGGGAAGCCTCCATCAGAGCCTCCGCCTGCACTGCTTCTCCACAGCTCTCTGCGACAGCTTAGATGCCGTATCTGGTTATTTATCTTTTGTAAGAACAGGAATGTTGTCTTTTTGCCCCTGGCAGGATGCCCAGCACCTACAACACCGCCTGGTACATAGCTGACACTCCCTAAATAACTCCGTCACCAGTCAAGAGGAGAAAGGGCCACCTCTCTGCAGGAGACTGTGACGGGCCTCTGAAGTCTGTCAGGGAGTGCGAAGGCAGTTAACTGGGACCCCGGGAGGCTTTCTGAGGTAGAAACAACTCAGATCTAACCACTGAGGTTTGTTCCACCCTTGAATCAGTTGTTCCCCTCCCACCAATGGTCCAAGAAGAGTCCCTCAGGAGCCTACCCTAAGGAAGACATGCGACGTACAAGCACTCAATAGAAAAAAAGGTATCTATTACCTACCCCCCGAAAGGGAGTGGCTAAGTAAAGCATAAATGGTCAAAGCAGTATTTTGCAGCCATTCAAAGTATTATCTGAATGCTAGGTAAAAAAAGTGCTTGTGAAATAAAACTCAGTGAGAATGACATAAACTTGCAAATATGTCCTAACTGTAATGACTTATATAACAAATAGAAATGGGGAAAAAGGAAGAAAAGATACCAAGATGATGAGTGACTGTACTGGGGCATAATGTTAAAAGTAGTTTTTGCTTTCAATGGAAATCCAGGCTTTTCTCTAAATGTGGCAGAGGCATTTATAATCTTAAAAAAGTATGCCATGTATTTCTACGCAGGCAAACTCCTGGCAGGGCCTGCCTCTGAGAGGCAGAGGGCAGGGCGGAAGCGTGACGGCCTCCTCCCGTCTTACCTGCACGAACAGCGTGGCCGAGTATCTGATCATCCTCTGCAGCCGCAGAGTGCTGGGATGTGGCGCAGGGTCCTGGTTCAAGCCTAAGGTCAAGATCTTCTTGCTGGATCGGAACAAACACATCAGGACAGTGGGTGCTGCCAGCCTCCGAGACAGAGACTAAACCTCTCCGGGTCATCAGGGAAAGCTTGTGGCAAAGAGGTGAGCTCCAGTGGAGTGCCCTTGAAGATGACGCTGCGTTCGCCTCTTTGGCTCCACCCAGGGCCTCTCACGCAGCGTGGGGCCCGGGGTCACGGCAGCCACCGAGACGGCCGCGCTGGGGTCCTGCGCTCTGTTCACTGTTCTGTCACTGCCTTCAGTTCCTTAGTGCGTCTTTTTTTTATATATATATTTATTCATTTATGGATACAAGGGCTAGGGTGTAGGCCAGAGGTGCAGAGGGTAAGAGGTTTCACCAGAGACAAGGTGGGGAGAGAACAGGCAGATCTACTGAAATGCACTGCTGAGGGGAGCAGCGGGTGAGACAGGAGAGGCCACTGCACCATCTGTGGGTCACTCCCTGGCTGGGACTGACCTTAGGCCGCAGTGGCTGGTGCTAGTTTCATAGTGCTGAGACTCTGACCCCTGTGCCACCAGGAAGGGCCAAATTTCTTAATAAGTCTTAATAGTTTTGAACAAGGGACTTACATTTTCATTTTGCACCGGGCCCCACAAATTATTGGGCTGTCTGAAAAGTCACGACACATTTTTCCTTGAAAAACAGAAAAAAAATACGTCATGACTTTCCCGACAATCCAGCATGAAGCCAGTTTTGCAAGCTAAGCTGGATCAATATTCCTCATTCAGCTCTTCCTGCATCACTCACTTCCTACAGCAAAAGGGCAGGTGTAACCTCAGAGCCAGCACAGGGCAGAGGCAGCTGTCAACTTGAAGGCCGAAGCTGAGTGTCCGGCCTGGCACCATCACTTGCTACCTGTGGTTTATTATAAAATGGGGACAATAACCCCTGCGCCACAGGGTAGCTTCGGCAGAACCAATGAGCCCCTCTGGGTGGGGACACCAGGGAGTGGCAATTAGCTGGTGTCAACAGTTAGCTCCTAGTGCTTCGCCAACAATTCACAGTAAAAACCCTGTGCCAACATTCAGTGAGACAGAGTGCTGGGGGCCGCACCTCCCCCACCCCACGCCACGGGGCTGGAAGCGAGCACAGGTCGGCCAGCCGCCCCCCCCCCCATCAAAGCAGCGCCTGCTCCACTCAGGGCAGCAGGACAGACAGCAGCTGCCAAGACTCACCTTAGAGCATCTATTAGCTCATACACTTTCTGCACCTCTACCCGGAGGTCACTGGCATGTTCCAGACTGTAGGTTGTCTCTCCAGCACTAAGGAGAAAGCAGAGATGTTTCATCTAAGTTTTGTCACAATGACTGCAGACGGTAGTATGGAAACACTAAAGTCTGAGGCCGCACAAAGGGGGACAAAGTTACTTCTCTCAAGTGGCTTCTCTGACTTAAATACAAAGCAGTGTCCACTCCTTTCCAAAATACGCTCGCCAGCTGGAAGCCACTCTCAGGGACAGACTTGTTTCCAGGCCTCTGAGGACCAGCTACTACTTACACGCATCATCAAAATACGTGCAACTGAGTCTACTGCCCTATTGCCCGATTTCACTGTGGCTTCTAAGACATAGTGATTTACTCAGTGAGTTGGTCCAGTACAGCACAGAAAACATATGACTCTTCTCACACAGAGACTACGTAGGGAGAAAAGTAGCTGCAGAGGCACTAAAGGGCTCCAGGGCAAGCAACACCCCGCAACGCAGCACACGCGAAATGGCTCCCTTTTGAGAGCAACTGTGAGACAAGCACACTGATTCCTGATCAAAAATGGAGGGTGGGAGTAGGTCTGCCCAGGGTGCAGGCAGCGACCTTGGGGAAGGCCAGAGCTGGCTAAGCTCTCGTCCCAGAGGAAGAGCAGTTACCCTGTGATCTCAGTGCTGCTCACGCACGAGCCCATTACCCACCCCCAGGGCAGTGGTTGTGACTTCCCATTTGCATCCTTAGTAACTCACACATGGCCATGCATAACGAACGTTTCCAAGGAGAGAAACATTTCAGATGACCCGTAACTCATCCAACCCCAGCAAGGACCAGCTCAGGAGCCTCTCTGAGACAGCATAACTGAAGCTATATTTCCCTAGTTTTCTTTTTAACGATTTACTTTATCTATTCATGCATAAAAGGCCAGAGGTGCAGGGGTTTGAGAGGATTCACCAGAGACAGAGTGGGGAGAGAGCATGCAGACTGACTGAGATACACTGCTGAGAAGCGCAGAGGATGAGACCAGAGAGGTCTGCTGCACCATGTGGGTCAGCTCCTTGGCTGGGGATCGAACTCAGGCTGCACTGGCTGCAGTTACATAGTGCTGAGACTTAAACCCTTGCACCACCAGGGAGGCTCTATTTCCCTATTTTACCTCCTGAAAACCAATCTTAGCTGGAAAGGTATTGTTGTGTGCTGTAACTTGAGGGTTCAGCTAAGTTGTTTTTCAGCATCTCTTATTGCACAGTTTGCCGAAAGAACACCAGGCCAGTATTAAGAGGACTTGTGCTTTGTCTTGTTTTCTCTTCCAAACGTGCAAATTATCAAGGCCTGCCAAATTCTGCAATCACCTGCCCTGTTCTCAGTCAGGTCAACCTGTCCTGCTCTCCTCAGGTGCCATCAGTGCTCCAGCACGATCTGACCGCTTGCTGATGGCCCGGGCCCCAACACAGTGCAGCTCCCTGGCGGGGCACTGTCATGTTCAGCCCTGGCACCGAGAGCAGAGCTTGGCACGTACCTAGTGCTCAATGACTGTCTGCAAGTGCGCAGACAAGGGGATGAAATCATCCGATGTTGGATGCTAACAGCACCTCAAATTCTAGCTTACCTATCTGTCATCTACAGAAGAGGCAGTATCCTTAAAAAATGGCTAGCAACCCTTTTCCAGAAAGGAACTGATACTAGTATTTTGAGCTTTGAAAGCCAAGTGGTCTGTTGTAACCATTGAACTCTGCTGCTATCCTGCTAGCGCAGATACCAACAGTCACCAGACAGACAGGCACGGCCGTGCTCCAGAAGCACGTGTGTATGAGAACAAGGAGCAGAGCAAGTGCTGGCCAGGACGTGCAGAAGCTGAAGCGCTGCTCCCGTGCTGGAGGAACACAAAGGGCGCAGCCACTCTGGAAAGGCCACCCAGTACCCCCGGCAGTCAAATACAGAGTTACCAGGGGGCCAGGCAACCCCACACGCCCAAGAGAAATACACGTCCACAGACGTGCACAGCAACACTCAGGGCGCTGTTCCCGACGGCCAAAGTGGAAGCCCGTGTCTGGGAAGGGCTAGCGGGTGCAAGAGACTGTGCACGCCACGTTTCCCACAAGGGCGACGAGCATGGCGAGGCTACAGAGCATCGCGCCGCGTGAAGAAGTCAGATGCAGGGCACATCTGCGGCTTCACCCGTGTGCGCCGTCCTGGGTACGCAAATCCAGAGCGGTACAGGGCGAGCAGGTAAGCAGTGACTGCTGATGAGCGTGGGGTTACTTATTTCATTTTAGAATTAAGACAGCAGTGATGGCTGAGCAACCTTGTGAATGTACTAAGACCACTGAACTGTGCACTTTAGAAGGGCAAATTTCAGCGTATTATACCTTAAATTAAAAAAATAATATATAGAGACCAGACTGGGTTTAGGCTGTGGGTCAAAGGTCACCAACTGCGCCCTAAAGGAAATGCCTGTTCTGTGGCCTAACACCGCCATGTCACCCTCAAGTGGCACCTACGTGGGGGGAGCACGAAGCCCATCGCCTCTGCCCACCTCCAGGCGCTCTGCGTAGCCCACCCCCACCCCCACCTTCCCTGAACCGCTCGAGCAGAACAGTTGGGCCGCATGAGCAAGGGACGCAGGACTGGATGAGTGTGGGCCACAGACGGGGCAGATTCTCTTCAGTCGATCAGAGAAGATTAGCAGAGAGTTAAGATTTTCATTTTCAGTTACTGAACTGCCCTCAAGTGCAAGAAACGTCACCACTGAACTGGAGCGACAGGAAGAGCTTACTTTAGGGATGCCGCCATCCTGATGTACTCGGGAGCTTTTTGGTCAACTTTTTCCATGCAAAGTCGTAATTTCTAAGAACAAAAAGGAAGAGGTGAGTGGTTCTCTTACGGTACGGAGAAGCCCACCCAGGAGCCAGTTGACAGAGGCAGTTCTCTAAACAGTTTCCAAAGTGGGCAGCTGCCAAGAGTGGTTTTTTGCTTCATTTCATCTTGTTTCGACAGTTACCATCTCCCGGCTTCAGGTGTTCACTTTACAAGCAAAATCCCTGTGGGAAGGGGAGGGAGGGGGGACGCTCAAGCGGATGTTTCTGAGAGGAGCGAGGCCCTCCAGGACAAAAGCCAAAGCGTGTACCAAGGCAGAGAAGGAGAAAGAGCTGCTACGCTCGGTCTCGGGGGACGCAGGCCCTGGCGCGGCCTCCAGGCTCCCTCCGTGGAGGAGGAAGCGCCGTGCTTGTCCGAGACCCCGCCCGGGCCGGGGCAGGCAGCTCCTTCTCCTTTTCTCTCTTTCCCCGTAAATCTGCCCTTCTGAATGGAAAAAAAGGAAGCAAAAAGCATGTGGCTATTTATAAAAGTGAGTCTTCAGGTCCTGAACGCCGACTCAGGAATGAATATGGCCACACCTGCAGCTCAGCTCGGGGCTTCACTACCACGTTTCCAGTAATCTTCGCGGGGAGCCCCAATCTCGGCCCTCGCGACCTCCAGATCTGCGGACGCAACCACTCGGCAGTCACCAGGCAGATGCGTGTTCTCTCTCTGCTCAGAATTCGCCGGTTTCCTGTCGGGGAGCTCCCCAACTCCCACTGGCTCTGCCCACCCCACCTGGTCAATCGGTCTCAGCCTGCAGCTCTCACGAGGCCCCTGGGAGGCCCAGCCGGTCTCCCCAGTCGGGCCCCACACCCCGTCTTCCTGGCTGCGCTGCCTTCCTCTCCCTGCGCGCTTCTGCCGAGTATTCCGAGGTCGCTGGTGGTGACGAGCGGAGGCAAACTGGGGCTCACCGGGGAAGCCTACCCTGGGGGGCTTTCTCACACGCTGGCGACGCCTAAGGCTCCCAGGTCAGTCTCCCAGGCCTTCTCTGGCCACGGTTCGCCCCGGCCCCAGCCCAGAACCTATCCCCTCATTCTGGGACCGCCAGAGCCTCCAACTGCCAGTTCCCAAGCAGGCAAGGAGGGTAAGGAACGAGTCGGTCGCAGCACACTCAGGCTCACTCTGTGACTCACCCAGGGCCAAGCCAGGAAGCCACACTGGCCCTTTAGCAGAAACTAAAAATGATTCACTGGAGCAACTTCCCAAAACATCCCCCCAACCTGCAGGCTTGTGCCCAGCAAACAGCTGGCTGCCTCTCACGGCGACCCAAGCCAGACGAGCCACCTCGTAGAGCCTGGCGATGTCGGGCGTGTGCTCCCTCTCGTCGATCTGCCGCTCCCGCGCGAGCAGCGTGTCCTTGCAGTGCGTGCAGCAGCGGATGCGGTCGTCGTCCTTCTCGTCCAGCACGGAGCTCACGCTGCTCACGCTGCTGATGCTGCCCCGGCGGGAGCCGTGGACGCTGCTGGGTGACTGGCTGGGGCTGGTATGCGAGCTCAGGGCGTCCTTGCTGGCACTGGTGAGCTTGTCTGTGGAGCACAGCACAGGGCAGGCAGCGGTGAGCCCGGGCCTCCGCCACCTGCCATCCACGACCGCTGGGGAGCCCGCGGCAGCTGACGGGGCAAGAACCACCCGCGACGCTGACACCACCCGCGACGCTGCCACCGGAGTCTGGTGCTCAGGGAGGTGGAGTCACTGCCAGCCAGATGGATCCACGTCCAGCCCGGCCTTACACCTCCTGCCCTCCACCTGCCCCGCGTCTCCCAGGCAATCTGTGTTCTCCCGGCCCTGCGCCTCACTCCTGCTCCCTAATTCCTCGTGGCAAAACCCCACCTGCCTTTCCTGTCAGCGCCCGCACTGGCCCCTCTGGGAGCATTCCCACTGCTCTCCCCGTGGGACCCTCTACCTGCCCCCAGGGCTGCCTATGAGTCCGGGACTCTTCAAGGGCAGAAACTCTTACTCATCCGTGTGTCCTTTTATGTCCGCAGGCCCCTCGCTGCAGCTGCCCAGTAAATGTTGGCTCGTCAGCCCAACAAGAAAGGTCCCACAAGTGGAACTCATGCGGCCTCGGGTGAGACAGGGGTCAGTCTCACGGTAAAAAGGAAACTACCAAGACAACGTGTGCCTGGTGATGCCACAGCCAAACTGGGGGAGCGTCTGTGCAGACCCCAGTTGCCAACAGCACGTGTGGCGCCAGCAGAACTCACCAGTGTTGCACCACCCCCAGTGCCAGGACTGGGGAAGCCCGCGAGACTGTTGTTAGCAGCTTTTACCAATTGAGGTTCCCAGCTGTGGCCCCGCTGGCCTCGGGCCTCACTCCAGCTCGCAAGCAGGCTCCCCCCTCCCGCCTGCGCCTCCCTCCTCCTGCCTGCGCTGTCCACTCACTCTCCCTCACCCCGTCCCGCACCTGCGCTCTCGCTCTGCATAAGCAGGTGCCCTCCCGCCCCTGCCGTCAGAGCCCTCATCTTCCAAGGCTCTTCCTGAACAACACGGCCACCCTGCTCGGCCTCTTCCGCAATCAGCAGCCTCCTGCTATGACACTTCTGTTCTAGGGGACGGTGAGCTCAAAGGACAGGGAAGCGTCTTCAGGAAAGAGCTAGCCCGCGCCCACGTTAGAGCCCCTCTCCACAGTCTCCGCTCAAAGCCTTACCCGCACTGACAAACAGCTGACAGAGATTTGCTCAACCTGCCTTGGTGATGTAACTTCTCTCTTTATAAAGCAACTATTTCTATTCCCTGCTAGATGCTGGATCCTTAGGGGACGGATGATGCCTCATAATAGGACCAGAAATGGGCAAACAGCAAACTCCTTGCTGGCCATGATTCCCCTGGACATTGATGCTGGTCACGACCAACCAGGCTTTGTGTGGCCCTTGGGGTAAGTACAATTTTTACATTTGTAAAAGGTTGTCTAAAAAAGAGGAAATGTGACAGAGACCATCTGGGGGTCACAAAATTGAATATATTTACTCTCTGGTCTTTTACCGAAAACAGTTGTCAACCCCTGTTAAGACTCTCACTCCACCTGCAGTGGGCTTCAGGGAATCATCAAGCGAGTGAATGACGATCTCATGGGCTGTAAACTTAAACCAAAAGGTCCCGAAAGCTTCCCAGCAAACACCGTCGTCTCAGGAGACCCTCTGAGGTCACCTACTTGCCAGGGGCAGGCTGATGAGCTCCACACACTTCTTGCACATGATGGACCCACACAGGCGGCAGTGGTGGCGGCGGTTACGGATGCTGAACTTACTGCCACAGTCTGGACAGAAAGGGACGTCCTGGTCGTTGACCCAAGGCACCACAGACTTTTCTATTGCTTTAGGAAGAACAAAACAAAAACCAACCAAACAAAAAAGCCAGTCATTTGCAGAGATTTGGTCAGAAAAAAAGACAAACCGAGTGAATATGAGCGGAGTTAGTTACCTCGGATCTTAGCAGACTCGGTGTTTGTTCTGTCAAATGCAGTGAGCTGTCAAGGAGAAAGAAGGAGCAGATGGTATTAATGAGGGGATGGACACACTCTGCACGGGCCGGAGGCAGCAAGCAGGACTTAGCACACCTGCCTCTCAGGTCTCGCCCGCCACCCCTCACCCACAAAGTCACAAGAGCAACGTCACACGCAGTGAAGTGTTAAGAGTTGCGGCTGAAAGGCACCTCCATATTCCCATGTCCCGCTTGCAATTCTTTAGCGTCAGTTACCCACGTGAGCATAAGAAGGGGTAGAAAGGGTAGTGGAGATGGCACGGAGAGCGACAGGGAACGCGCATCCCCACGGTCCTGCTGGACAATGCCACTGGCCCCGTATTTCTGCGCGGAGCACACCTATTGTACCTGAGGTTGCTCTTACACAACAAACATCTCTAAGAGCAAAGTGAAACAGCAAACATGGCCTGAAGACATCTTACACAGCGCCGGCAGAGGCCAGCCAGCCGTGCCCACGCTGACCAGGCTGGGCACCCCTGTGGACTGCCCCCAGTTCACTATCTGCCGTCAAGTGAGTCCAACACTATGCCTGACCGTGCCTAGGACACCCAAGGAGGCAAGACCCTGAAAGCAGAAAGTGCTCGAGCAGCAGAGAAGGCTTCGGGGGAGGGAAGCCGGTCGCATGACAAGCACCGACCCGGGCAGTCCTCAGCAGCAGCCCCCACCGCATCCTCTGGGTGGGGGTTTCTCTGCCGGCTGCAGATACACAGGACATTCATTGCATGCTACAGAAATGTAACTCCCCCAGGAAATTTGCATTTGCAGAAAAAATTTGCTTTAACACAACAAAATTTACCTTCTCTAACCTGATAATTAATTTATTGACTTCAACAACATAGTGGTCAATTCTGGCAGCTCGGTGTTTTTTGAAGTCTGAAAGATGGCTTCTCACAGCACCTAGAAAGGGACAGAGACAACAGCAACTTGTCACTTTACTGAGGGAGCTTATCCACCTTGCTGTGATCCTCAGCGAATTTCAAAAGCAAGTAAAATTTCTAAGATTTTAGAGTGTCCGTAAAAAAATTTTTAATTAGGAAAGCAAATGGAAGGAAATTAGCCAAAATGGTAACTGTGGTTACCTTGGAGGCAACAAAACATAACGTAAGAGATCCCAGAGTCCAGCGGATAAAAGTTCGGACTCTGGAGCAATCCTGTGTTCAAGTCTGAATCTGCCACACACTACATGCCCTCAGACCAATTACTTAGCCTCTCTGTAACTTGTAACATCACCTACAAAACAGGGATAACAACAGTATCTACTTTAGAGGGTTGTTGTGAAGACCAAATAAACTTAAAGTGACAGCCTAGCACATGAATTTGTGCCAAAAAAAAGGCAGTAACATTATCAGTGATTTAAAAAAATCATACTTTCTACACTTGTCATATTTTTCTGTATGCCAAAGCTGTTGTTTTTCCCATCAAAATGAAAACAATCCTCAAAAGAACCCCCAAAATGTAAATTCCAATAGATGCCCTTGGGGGACGAGTTCCTCGGGCCAGCAGTCGAAACGTGGGACAAACCTCCCCAGCACGACTGGGGCCGGGCAGCCCGTCGGGGCCTGCAACACGCCGGCTGGCACGCCACCTCCAAGCAGCACCCTGCCCTCGACCTGGCGGGACTCGGCTCACACCTCCAACTGTGGCCCAACATTCATCACCCGCCCACCTGAGTGTCTCATGCTACACATGTAACCAGCCATGTGTTTCTCCATTCCTAACCATATGCCAGTAAAATTTCCATTTAGAACTCTAAGGGGTGACTATAATATTAACATCTAACATCTGCCATTCGCTTGACCTGCGATCTGTGACGTCAGTTATTGTCATAAGCACGTTAATCAGGAAAATGACCCTGATAACTTAATACTGGCCATCACTGAAATAGCTATCAAAAAGCAAACAAGAGTTTACATTCCTGAAATTTCTCCTTTGTTTCTAATTGACTTTCATAGGTAATTTATAACTCATATGCATAGTATTATTTTTAAAGTCATGAAAATGTTTCCTTTCTGCATCAGCCACATGAGAAGACGGAACACTTGAAATGTGGCTAGTGTAAGGCTGAGGAACTAACTTTTAATTTTACTTAATTTAAATTTTAAAAGCCCAGTATAATCAGTGGTCGTCACTCTGGCATGCAGCTCAACGCTTTTCCCATCCCAAAGCCACCTTCTGTAGTGGCACCTTAGAAACAGGGTGGGTGGCTCTGGGTGACGTCACCCTTCCTAGAGCCTGTTTTCTCATCTGTAAGTGGGAATGAATGTCAAAGCCATTCTACCTTGTTAGGCTTTTGTGAAAAGTGAAAAAATAAAGAATCATGAGACAATCTTACTTATCCATTTCACAGTCAGAAAATAAACTCAGTAAGGATGTTTCCACTTAACAGTAAAGGGCCTGCAGGTTCTGTCTGCTGGTTCAAATCTGTGTGGCCTGATGTTTTTGGTGACAGCTACACTGAACTAGTATTCACATATGCAATCTATCATTTAAAGGACAAAAATTCAATGGTTTATAGTATACTCATAAGAGCTGTGCAATCATAACCAAAATAAATTCTAGAATAGTTTGATCACTGGAAAAAGATTATCCTGAAAGTAAGTAGATACCATAATTACATGATTCTGGAAAGTAAGGCGCACAAGCCATTGGAGTTTGCACCTGAGTTGATGTCAGAGACCTGTACTCATCCACCAGTTTCTCAAATTTCCCAGCTACTTGGGAAGTCAGGTCCCTCTGGGGTCAGTGAGAGTTAAATGTGCTAACACACAGTAGATGTCCACTCTCTCTCGTCTGCTCTCCTCCCAGCTAGCATGTAAGGTGCACAAGAAACTCAGACCATTCTGGTTTATTGATCCCCCCTCAGCCAGCTCTTAAAATACTACCTAGAACATATAGATGACCGATCAGAAGTGATAAATGAATGAAGAAATTTTCTTACCGAGTTCCTGGGGTTCCCACACGTAAGGATCAACCCCTCCATAGCTGAAAGATTCATATCCTCGGGTCCCCGATTCTGCTCGATCATCTTCTCGTCTCAATAATCTGTTCTTTGCTTTCTTTGCTTTCTGGACAAGACCTTAAAAAATGAAACACTACAAATGAATCCATGAAGAACCCAGGAAAGTGTCAAGGGAAATCTCAAAAAAAAAAAAAAAAAAGCCCCAAATTGATGAAATAATTATGTTTAAAAACGAAATGTTTGTATCTTGAATAAAATGCACATATCACTTGTACCACAAACGCCACAGACCAAAACTAGCTAGTTGGTATGAGCAGTAAGTTGGCTTATCATGCCAACAGGTAGCTACTAAATAAATGATTACGGCCAACTTTAAGAGCCAGTTAAACAGATGTGCTAAAGTCATATCCAAGCTGGGGACCAGGGAAACAGAGTGGGTATTTTTTCACTGTCAAATAGAGAAGTGGATACGTAGATATATCCATTTTTCAAAACGTACTGAACTGTGCACCTGAAAACTTACATATAACACTTTATTTCATCCAAAATATTTTGCTTTCTTTAATCAAATGCTATAGTATACTAACTTACTTACCTAGGGGACACATGAGTGAACACTTCCTGTCTGCTAACCCAACATCCCTGGGCTGAGGTGCCCAAAACACGTAACTGGAGATAGAGCTCTCCCCAGCCCCCACTGCCACCTGCCTACTGAATGCCCAAGTGAGAACGCTGACAAGAAGCTACAAGATGCAGATATCACACATACAGCCCAACACAAAGAACCAAGATTTGGGAAGAGAACAAATTGAAAGTGCTTTCAAATGCAGAGCCTGCTCGTGCCAGGCCACAAAGACGGGCTATCCCTACTTACAAACAAGGACTTGGCATCAAAGAGGAGGAACTTCTTCCCCCAAGACCACAGCACAAGACTGAAAACAGAACCCTCATCTGCCTGGGCCCCCAGCTTCCCCCTTCAGCACTGACTGAAAACTGTGCCTCCAAAGAACAGGGGTTCCACTACCAGTGCTGCCAGGAGACCTGAGGTGGAAATGGATCAACAGTCAAGAGAGGGGGAAAAAGTCTCAACTCTAAGTTGCCCTCATTAACGTTCTTAAATTTCAGGTGACTGCCATCCCTTTCGGGCACAGAATCTAGTAGACAGCCCCAGACTTAAAACAAAATAATCCAACTTCTTTTACATTTAATAGAGCATATTTCATGGCGATCCCATGACTCTGAGGTATCCCACCACTTGAGTAACATGAAAAATACTCCTGTTGCTTTTCAAAAATCTAGGCAGATATGCGGGACTGGCAGGCAGGGTGTGAAACCGACAAGGTCAGTGATAAGTCTTTTAGACTAATAAGCGAATTCCCTAATCATCAGCCACTCTGGGATGGTGTTCTACAACAGGAAAAATAACAGGACAGAACTTAACAACATTCTCTAAAGTGCCTCAAGTAGTCTTTTTTAACAATGGGGGCGCAGCAACTGCCCAGTGTAATCAAAGAATCTGGAGTTAGCAAACACCAATTCTTCTTTGCAAACAAGGCTGAACTGTGTCAGGAGAGTCAGGCAGTCTATGCCATGGGGCCACGACAGCAGGCAAAGGAAACTGCCTGGCCATCTTCCCGGAGTGGGCGTAGCCTTCAAGAGGGGCCAATTTTTAAGAACAATTCCATATGATCTTAATATCACAAAGCAGAAGCCAGTTAGATTTCAATCACCTTTTTCTGGAGTTACTGCATTTGCTAAACTAAAGCTGAAACAGGGCTGGGGCCAAACTCATCGACCACTTGTTAGCAATCACAAGTTTGTGTTTTCCTCCCTAAACTCGTTCCAAAATCTTTTTGCTGTAATATTTCACTTGCCTAAAACTAGCATTGGCTTAGAATTTCTCAGCATCAAGACCCAATGGAGAGGTGATCTGCTTTTCAAAGGATTTTCCAAAACTCTTTTATATCAACTTTTAAAGCTTTACTTTGCTGAACTGAAACTCAGCAACCTACAACACAAGCAAGAATTCCTCCCTAATGAAGTGAATCATCGCTAATGACACTAAAGGAATGTTCAACTCAATCTCTTCATTTTTCTGAGGTATGATGGGGGGAAACCCACAAGAAAATCCTTTCAAGTTTCCTTTAAAAGGAACATTTCCATGCTAGTATTTAAAAAGTAGATTTCCCTATCTATTATTCCCTAATAATCTTAACCATTTTCCCTCTAATAGCAAGGTCATCGCAGAAATTCAAGGACATCCTCTAAAACCTCTCAACTTCACTGGCATCAAAGTCAGCAATGTCATGGTCACAGCTCAGCAGTGCTCACTGAAATCACAGAGCCTCCAGACACCTAGAGAAACAGCACAGTTTTCCAGGTGCAGGCCACGCTGGGCCTCGCAGGGAGACAGCAGAATGAGGCTCAGACTTGCACCTGGGCTCGAGGCCCACCGCAGCCAGTTCCCATGTGGCCCTGTAGTCAACGCTTCTGAGCCTCACCTTTTCTTTGTAAAATGACCAACTACATCCCTGCAGGGTTATGAGAGTCAAATGAAGTAAAAATGTGTGTGAACAAATTCTGAAAACTCTGAAGTGCAGAACTTATGGTGGAGGGCCACGAGCCTCTAATAGTAGCTCTGCACCAATCTCTACAGTCAGACGGCACCTTGTCAGCCAGGACTCCAGATTTTTAAATGCTCGAGTGTGCCAGATTTCGGATGATGTTATAAATGTTAATGCCTCGACAGCTCTTTCTGCACTGGAAAGCGAGGCACAGGACAGGATGATTTGATTGTAGGGGACGTGTGACTCTCGCTTGTATGGAGGCCAAAGTCCACTCAGGAATACATGATCTTTCCCATCCAACATAGAATTGTGACTACAGCTCCCAAACCTTTTAAGTCTTGCTGTGTTCAGAAATGCTGCCAGTTGTGAGAAGCAGGGTCTCTCACCCTCTGCACCTCTGACCTGTACCGCAGTTTTTGTTTGCATAGATTTTTTTTTTTAAAGATTTATTTATTTGTGCATACAGACTGGGGTACAGGCCAGAGGCTCAGGGGCGGCGAGAGGCTTCACCAGAGACAGAGTGGGGAGTGGGGAGCAGAACAGGCAGATCGATGAAGTACACTGCTGAGGGGAACAGGGGTGGGTCAGGAGAGGTCTGCCACGCCATGTGGTCACCTCCAGGGCAGGTGGGAATCGAACTCATGTGGAAGTGGCTTTAGCTTCTCAGTGCTGTGCTTTAACCCGCTGCGCCACCAGGGAGGGCCGCATAGATCTTTTTTTAAGAAAGGGTCCTTTTTATAAAAAGAATCTATAGTCCATATAAATAAATAAGCACTATAGTCAAATTACTTGGAAATATTATCTCTACAACCCTAGGACCTAGGCTTTGGGAAGTTCAAAAACCAAATTTTAAGTTTTGGGATTATTTCTTTTTATTTTTCAACTGTGACCTCACTTTTCCTAGGTTGCAGGGAGTAAGCCAGCTGAGGAAGGAAGGACAGCAGGGAGGCCGGAGTCTGAGACAAGGAGATGAGCACACGATGTGTCTCTACTTTCAGAGCAAAGAGAAGGCTTTCTACTCTCAAGCCCTCTGGGCGCGCAGAGCGGGAACTCAGCCATCAGGAGACAGCAGAGCACAATGAGTCCCCTTACTGGGTATGACGCCAGTGCTCGTGGTGACTTCAGCCAGGTTACTTAACCTCTCAGTGTCTTACATGGGGGCTCACCGTCACACAGTATTGTGAGACATAAAGGAAGATGACAACATGGAAGATTTTGAACAATGCCTGCTTGGCACAGTGTAAGGATTAGATAAGTTTCTGATAACAATCTATTACTGTTATCATCATGTTTCAGTGGTGACATGGAAACCAGTGGAGATCACCACCCCTACTGACAGAATGGAATAAACGAAACCCTTGCCTCTTACTTTTAATTTGCCCTCTGACATCTCGGTCATCCCCCGAGTGCTCATCTTCATAATGCGACTGAAGCTGATAGAAAGACTGCAGGTCCTTCAGGCACAAGGGGCAGAGAAAGCCCTCCCGCACTTCCCCTGGGTCATCCAGAGAAGCCATGGCAGTGTGGGTCACAGCCCCCGTGAGGCAGGGGCCTCGTGCCAAGAGTCAGCTTGATTCTTCTGCAAGCAACAGGGTTCCGGAGGCATTAACTTAACCAAGCAGCACATGGAGAATGAGGACGTGGCATTGTGGCCTGAATGATGCTGCTTCCTTGGAGTAGAAGAAACCCTGATAAAGGACAGAAAGGGAAAAAGTCAATTCAGGGAAATCAGCAGCAACAGAATTTTCTTCATTCTTTTCACAATCAACAGGGTACTTAATGTCTGTGTGTGCAAGTTTGAACTAACAAACCACAAAAAAAGTTGGTGTTCAAACAATCCCAGGCTTCCTACATTAAGTCTGCTTCACTGGGCTATGGCAATGTCTTATTGGCCAGGGTCACCTCAGTAAGAGTCCTGGCCTGAGGGAGAACTCAGACAAAGCTTGACACTAAAGCAGAGAAATTTCTCCCCAAGAACCTGAGGCCAAAACCACAGTATAAAATGAGACATAAAACCCTGAAGATGTGAGCGTATCACTGACAGCGGTGACTCAAGTAGGAAGCATAGATTCTTGAAGGAAAGAAAATTCTATGTCGACAGAAGCACAATACCAGGCAATTCTCTAACACTCATTCCAGATGTTCCGACTTCATGACCTCTGTGCTACTTGAGCTATCGGGGAAATGCCTTCAGTACTCATTCAGAAGCACTTTTATTTGACTCTCTTTACCTTGATCATTTACTCAGCCACATAAATGAGTTCCTGCTTCTGTGCTGAAAATGCAAAGAGACCTGAGAGACTGAACCTACATCTGTCAGTGCAAATAATAATAATAATAATTATAATTATAAAGACAACAGTCAACTGGCATAACTTAATCTTAAATTGGGAAGCCCTCAGAGACGGAGGCTTGGCTGTTGCAAACAATAATAGTGTCTGTCCTATGAAAGGAAATCTCAACCTCAGTCTAAAGGAGTGCATCAGAAACCTAGTGCTCAAAAAGGAAAATCTGCTTATATAGCACTTTCTCTCTAATCAATTACTGGGCTTCATAAGTGACAACTAAGGAGCAAGATTAATGTTCTGACTACAATAAAGGAACTTGGAACTCAAAACAAGTCAGGGTTTCATAAGTTACACTCTGTTTTACTGATCCATGTCAAAGTCACTTCCAATGTCACCTTGGCTACCAGTGATGGGGGGAATCTGGACAAAAACATTACACAAAAGCAGAGAATTTTTCCCCCACAGCCATAGTAGTGACCCTCAGCTTTGGAAGTACTTGCTTAGAGGGCCACTGAGGAGGGACTTCTTGGCCCTCAAAGCTGAAGGGTGACAGTGAACCAGAAAATAAATAACCGAAACACCAGGTCTGTTTTCTCCTCCAGCTAAGAAACCCAGTGACTGTGTACATGCAGACTGTCAAGGAAACAGCAACTCCAGGTCTGACATGTTCCCTCCCAGACATTTTCGCCTGATGTGGGGACTGACAACCCCTTCCTTCTGGTGCACCCAAATCTAAGAGCCACGAATCAAACACAAACCCACCCTCTCCTCTCAACCCAATACCACTTCAAGGAAAGGCTGCTTCTTTGAGACACTGCGACTGGACGGCCCCTGCACTTCTCCACAGCACTCACCTCGATGTATAACCACAAGGACCTGAGTGAAATGACTGAACACCTAAGATCATAAGGTCTGTCAGGGCAGACACCCTGTCTATTTGCCCCAGCACCAATCCCCGGGGTTCTAGAACAAACCACCACGCACCACAGTGAAGCTCCATGAAGGAATGAAGACAACCAAGCCCACACCACAAACCGAAGCCCCTACCACCAAGCACCAGGGCAACCCTACCTGCATACCTGCAAGCCCCTGGCATCCTACCTGCAGGCCCCTGGCATCCTACCTGCAGGCCCCTGGCATCCTACCTGCAGGCCCCTGGCATCCTAAGCGAAGCATCCAACAGCAAGGCCGCCCTCGGGCGATGCCACACATCCCGCGCCCCAAGGTGCGCTCGTCGCATAACCACACACAACACGAGGACCCCAACCCACGGGGCCGACACGACAGCCCCACGCACCGCACACACCCGCCCCGAACGCCTCGACCTCGTCAGCCAGAGGCAAGCGCAGCGCCCCGGGGGCAGCCCCCCCACCCCCGCCCCGCGCCTCAGCCTCAGACCCAAGCGCAGCTGCGCACGCCCCGCGCGACCGACCGCACAGCCCGAGAGCCCAACCACCGCGGCGCAGGCCAGCGAGCGCGCGGCCCTCAGCCGCGGCGCCCACCACGCTCGCCACACCCACCGCCACCTCCCGTCGCCCACTCTCGCGGCCCGCGCGTCCGTGCCCGGTGGGCAGCCGCGCTCCGCCCCGCCCCTCCCTGCCCAGCAGGCCCGTCCCCGCCTTCGGTACCCCACGAGGTTGCCGCTGGCAGGCAGGCCTGGACCGGCCTCGGGCCCGGGCTCTGGGCCTCCGAAGTCCCTCACTCCGCCGCGGCGGCCATCGGCATCGGCTGCTCGGCGCTCGGCAGGCGCGCCTCAGGCGGCACCGAAACCGGAAGGAAGGCTGGGCGACGCCCGTCGAACGCCGAGTCATCGAGGGCGCGGGACGGCGACTTCTGCGCAGGCGCCGTAAGCACCAGCTGGCTGCGGAGGGCTGATTTTGCGACGCTTGGACGTGCCAGGCGCTGGCCCGAGCAGCTCGCTCTCCACCCGGCTGTGCACACAGGAGGGCTGAAGCCTGTCACGCCGTAGTTCAGGCTGAACAATGAATGAGGCAGCCGCGGGATCTTCAACGCCTCCGACCCCAGCCCAACTGCAGTTCTAAATTCGAGACCGTTCTTTGGAGTTAGAGATAAAGGGAATATGCAGAAGACTTAGAGGCTGTAGAAAGATCCAGAATACAAACACTTGAGTAGGAGCGTAGAATGACAGCATGCCCGGTGGTTGTTCGGCACCTGTGTCCAGACTGGTGGCATTTTCAAATGTATGGCCATCAGCACCCGCTGCCCGGCGCTATGGCCGCCGCCGCAGGGTACACAAGACACAGCCCATCGCAGGCCTGGAGTGGTGTTTTTCTGTGTGGGGTGGCCTTGGCTGTGGCCTCGCTCCGGACATCCGTCTGGGGGCAGATAAGTCTCAAAACGGGCTGTGCTTTCAGGCTGGACTACCTTTGGGGTTAAGCCATGAGCCTTTTATTAAATCATTATGATTTGTCTGTCAGTCTGCCATTTACAAAAGCCAGTGCCACATTCATCACTTCATTCACTCAAAAAAAGCTCTGGCAATCTGACCTGAAGTTTGTGAGTTAACTCTGGAACTGATCATGGGCTCGGTCAGTGACATTCTACTGATACCTATAAGAATAATGGTGGCAGGGGCCTCCCTGGCGCCCCAGGGAGTTAAGTCGGAGCACCATGGTGCTACCGGCCCAACCTCTATCCACCAGCACCACCTGGCACATAGGGAGGACTATGTAAATGTTTGCTAGGTAAAGGAAAAAGATGGGAGATGTCCCAGCAGTCTTGGCGGGTGGGTCAGTCAGTCATGTCAAGCTGAGTCAGACCAGTCCCAGGCCGTGTTTGGGTCCCATCTGGGGTCATGTGACATCATGGCCCTGCTCACCATGTGTTCAGAATGTATTCCAAGAGCAACTGCCGTGTGTGTGTGTTTGTATGTGTGTGTGTGTGTCGTGGGGGAAAGAGACTGCCTCAACAAAACTGAAAAGAAGAATATATGGAATTGACTTGGGGGGGGGGGTTGTGAGTTTCAAGGCTGCATAATCTGCACTCAGTTGGGACACCTTGCACTCAAAACAGGACTCCCAGCTGTCCCTCGCGGCTTTTTGGTGAGTGGGAAAGCGGTTTCTCCCCCAAGCGGGGACAGTCCTATGCCCTGTGGAAGGACTCCAGCCCTGCATTTGAGACCCTAACTGGACCTCTGCTTGACCCAACCTGCACAGTGATCCCAAGGGAGAGTGAGAATGAAGGACTCAGAGTGGTTGGAGTCACGCTCGTCCTCTGCAGCTCAGAGCTTATTCCTCTGACCTAAACATCTTCAGAAATATGTACACTCAGCGAGTTGAGAAGCTGATCCCAACTCCAATCCAGATTTGAAAAGTGCGCATATAGGTGGTCTTCTAAGTTTTCGCGGCATTTAACAGAGTTTGGTGTATGAAGCACCTAAAGCAGAGCCTGGTGACTCCAGCTTTAGCTGTAACTTGGACAGTGACGCGTGGGAATCATTGCTGCATCTTCAGCATCCAGCCTTTTCTGTAACCGGGGGTGATCTGTGTTGGGGTGCTCCACTGTGGGTTCTTCTGAGACTGGACAAATTCACACCAAACAGATTAGAAGAAAAAGACCAAATCATCTATGCATGGAAAAACTAGAGTGAATACGACAACTGAGGGGTTATAACCCCGCTGAGAGACCTGCGGGGATCAGGCCTGGGGGGGGGCCTCCTATGAGGAGGGTGACTTCATAGGGCAAAACCTTGCCCCTGGGCATTTGCCCTGACTTAGGACAGGTTTGGTAGATAAAAAGGTTGATTGTGCAGCTACCTGTAAATCCAGGTGATCTGCATTCTTTAATGATGACGTCTCTCCCGAGGCTCAAAGAGCCTCCACAGGCCTTAGTTTCATACCAAGTGTTGGATAAGGCTGTGCTACACCTTTGGGAAAGTCCATCCAAACCTCTTTGGACAGAAGGATCTTACCTCTGTCAGTGCAAGACAGATGAAGGCTGATGTAGCCAACTGACATCTTTAATTCTGAAACGGGAAACTTTCAGGGATGCTGATTTGGTTATTGCAAGTAATATTGCCAACCCCATTCAACACTACACAGAGCTAGAAAGCAAAGCCCAGTTTCCATGAAAATGCAGAGAAGATGCGTTTTCAGGAACACAGCGGCTACATGAGGGGACGCCAGCCTAGCTTCAACACAGGTGAAAACAAAAGCTGCCATCAGCTAACACAGAACGTGTGAGGTGGGAAATTACCTTTATGGGGAAGAAAGGACCCCCCTCTCTCACAAGTGCCACATGGCCCATGGCCCCTCAAGCTCCCTGCGGTGTAGGGAAGGCTCTCCTTCTGGGGAGAGGAGCGGCTGCTTGGGCAAGCTGCTTGAAACAGGGCGCAGAGAACTCCAAAGCAGACTTCGCATGTGAACCCACACTCCAGGCCTCGGGCGTCATGTCCCGTCGCAGGGCACTCGTGTGTCGGATCCAGTGCCATATCCAGGCACAGTGCCTGTGCCTGGTGTGGCGCCAGGATCATTTCACCAGCCCCAGGGAGCCATTCACTCATCACCTGCGCCTGCTGTGAATCACCCTCAGCTGTGAGCACCTCCCCAGGAAACAAACAAGGTCCTCAGCAATAAAAGAAATGTGTGACTGCATTCACCAAACTGCATGGGGTCTCGGCCTGAGAGAGGTCAGACAGACAGCAGGTCTTGCCTCATGGAGCTGACATTCTAGTGGGGAGCCGCATGTGCTGCCCACAAACATACTAAATAAGCACACTGTAGTATGTCAGAAAGTGGTAACTGCAATAAGAAACAACAGCAAGGAGGATGAGGGGAGCCAGGTCACCACACTTAGGGAGGGCAGGGGAGACATGAAGGTGGTGAGGTGTGTTGCTCTTGGGGTAGAACAGTCCATGCAAAGGAAACAGCCCTTGCAAAGCCCGTCAGGTGGGGTGTAACTGGCCGGTTGAATAAAAAGTAATGAGACTAAGATCCACATTGATAGCAGCATGGTTCTCAGTGGACTGAGAAGGGAACAACACGGGAATTCCTCACGGGATGAGCGGACAACATGCTGTCGGCCCACGTGGTAGAATATTACTCAGCCATAAAAAGGAATGAAACTTTGACACCTGCTAAACTTGGGCCTGCCTTTTTCATTATGCTTAATGAAATTAGTCAGGCACAGAAGGACAATTCTCTCTAATTCCATTTATATGAGGTTCCTAGAATAGCAAGTTCATGGAGACAAAAAGCAGAATAGATTACACTCCTGGGGGGAGTTGGTGTCTGTGGTGGGGTGGTGACCGAGTGTTGAGTACAGATAATGAGGCTATTAATACATTTACTGCCACTGAATCGCACTTACGAATGGTTGAATTGATACATATTATGTATATCTTACCGAAGCCAAAAAAAAATAATGAGGCCAATGAGACTGGAGCAGTGGGGATGTGGGCAAAACTTAAAGGAAATCAGGTCAGAGAACTCCAGGGGAGAGGACAGGGCACAGCTTCACACAGCTGAGAGGGGAGTCAGGAGGGCGCTTGGGTAGAGATGGAGCAGCATCTGACCTCCGGCTTCTGTGCTGAGAGGAGCTGCAGGGGGCCAAAGTGTGGCACACAGTAGACCCTCAGTGAGTGTAGCAGGAGGCTGTTACTGAGTCTGGAGCCCAGCAGGCTGGAAGGGCGAATGTTCTGTGGCCTGTGTAGCAGGAGCAGCCACCAGGGGGCGCCATCTGGCCAGGCAGTAGCTGACTCCAGGTCTCCAAAGCTTTGCTCACGCTGCCCCAGCCATAGCGCAGCGAGTGTGGGAGAGGCCTGGGCTGGGTGAGCCAATTTCCCTACCACTGCTGAATCTGAACACCCCTCTCTTGCAACTGGGGACAGTAGGAGCTCAAGTGACATTGAGCAGACATGGCCTGGCCTTGGTCTTTCCTCCTGAGGACCCCACCCCCAGACAAGCTCTTTTCAGAACCCTTCCATCTAGCAAAGGGCACCCTATTCGGCACCCTGGAGTCCTCCTGGAGACCCATTCCTCCAGATTCACTCCCCTTTCTCTGTCTCTGTCTTCCTCTCTCTGACTTATGAGCACACAACTTGTCCCCTCCCCCTCTCTGAAGACTGGGCTCTGCCACATCCCTCCCACCAGTGATGTCCTGGCTGTCTGGATTTACCCTCTCAGGCATCCGTTTCCTCACGGATGTCCATGCATGCAGAACAGCGCCTGGCACAGAATCAGGGCTCAGCGAATGTGAACTCATACTCGGCTCCTCATTGTGCCCAATGCACTGCCTGGGCCCTGGCCAGCAATTACTGCTGAATGAATGAATTGATGAATCATGAATGACCTTCAACTGCATGACAGACCAGTGCGTAGGCACGGACAAGCCTTTAGCTGGAGAAAAAATAAGTGCATTAAGCATTTTAACTGCGGCCGCCTCCACTCCCGTGTGCTGTCCGACAGCTGCCTTCACTCCTATTTTTGTTCTCCTGTTTGGCCTTGGGGGAGCAGAATTTGGGGCATCATCTGCCTGTCCCGTGGCCATGTGCCAGACCCAGTGGCCTCCCACGTGCGTCCCAGCCGCCAGCTCTTAACAACCTCTTGCTGCTTGCAGGTAATAGGGAGCCTGGGAACAGGGCTTATGTAAACTAGCCAGGCTGTCCGGAGCTTCTCAGCTGAGTCCGTCCGAGCCCCCTGCAAATACCACCGGCGCGGAGACACGCGGCTCCGTCGCCAGCAGGGGGCGCGCGGCGTCCGCTTTGCCCTGAGAGGGCCAGAGAGTGGGAC